GGCACATATACACCACAGAATACTATAGAGCCATAAAAAACAATGAGTTCTTGTCCTTGGTAGGGACATGGATAAATCTAGAAACCATTGTTCTCAGCAAACTGATACAAGAACAGAAAATCAAACACCACATGTTCTCACTCATAGGCGGGTGTTGAACAATGAGAACACACGGGCATAGGGAGGGGAGCATCACACACTGGGGTCTGTTGTGGGGGGCTAGGGGAGGGATAGCGGGTGGTAGGGATTTGGGAAGGGATAACAGGGGGAGAAATGCCAGATATAGGCGATGAAGATGGAGGCAGCAAACCGCATTGCCATGTGTGTACCTATGCAACAATGCTGCATGTTGTTCACATGTACCCCAGAACCTAAAGTACAATAATATATACATATATAGTTTTTTAAAAAAGAGTATTACTATATGGTTTTAATTTACTGTTTTGTCTTACTCTGCTAGATTTCAGCTCCTTTACAGGCATCTTTTATCTCCAACCTCTCCTTGGTAATTTTCGGTAGCTGGATGGATAAATTACAACAAATCATATGAAGGAATTCTCATCAATTTCTTCCAGTTATATTTTTACTGAAACACTCGTATTCTGTCTAGATTTTTTTAGGTGGATTAACAGAAGCAGGAGAAGTGTACTAAACCTTTTTAGACTCCCAAACAAAATAACTTTTTTCCATCAGGTATAAGCTTCCTGCAGCCTTCCCTAAACTAGGTTGAAGCACCACGGTCCCAACCACTCCTCGAAACTTGGTGCTCACTTCTTTAACACCTGTTGAGTGTACACCATTTATCTGCTACTATATTAGACTGTAGACATCTTGAAGGCAACATACGTCTTTCTCCGTACCTTCAGTGCTGAGCACATTACGGTAGCGTTCAACAAAGTTTACAGGATGAACGAAATAGGGACACATAAGCCCAGCAGGGTGGTGCATGCCTCTAATCCCGGCACTTTGGGAGGCCTAGGCGAATGGCTTGGCTGGAGCTCAGGAGTTTGAGACAGGCTGGGCCACGTGGTGAAACCCTGCCTCTACCAAAAACCAAAATTAGCTGGGCCAGGTGGCACATGCTTGTGGTCCCAGGTACTCAGGAGGCCGAGGCAGGAGAATCGCTTGAGCCCAGGAGGGGGAGGCTGCGGTGAGCCGAGATCGCGCCACTGCACAACTCCAGCCTGGGCGAGAGTGAGACCGTGTCGCAAAACAAAAAAAAAAAAAAAAAAAAAGGGAAATGGGCCACATATATGTCTCAAAAGACCATTTATATTGCCCTTCAAGAGAACTGGGAGTTCCTAAACGAACTTTTTAAAGGTTGCCTTGAGATAGGATCAGAAAGGCAGCCTATTGGACTTTCTTTCCAGTCTAAAGCGCGGCTACTAACAATACCCAAGATTCTCCTTCCAGACAAGGAATCCGGAGCAAAACAGTGAAGCCCCACCCTGTTACTGTCCCACCTGCTCCGCAAAAAGTGCACTCAGCCTGATAGGCGCTGCGCGGCCGGGCGGGAGGCCCAGGCCGCGCCCATCAACAGGTGTCGCGAGACTGGGATTGGCTCTCTGAGCCGACGTCATTCTGAAGAAGACGGTTCCGCCCCTTTCAAGATGGCGCTGCACTCAGTGCGGAAAGCGCGTGGGTGCTGGACCTTCATCCGGGCACTTCATAAAGGATCCAGAGCTGCTCCTACTCCCCAGGTAATTAAGGCTGGCCCTTCCCTCGGCGGCTTCCCATCCCGCGAGGTTCTTCTCATCCCACTGCCTTCTATTTATTTTTCTCCTCCCGCTTCTTAGGGAAACTACTTGCGTCCTCTCGCCTAAGGTCTACTCGCCTATGACTGCCCTCCTATTCAGAACGTAGTGACGTTGCAAGGATACGCGATGACGTAAAGCTCCCTTGGTGAAAAAAGCGCGCCGCTCCCCGACCTCTTGTCTCGGCTTCCAGTCCTGGGAGCTGGTCGCTGCCGCTGTTGCTGGGCAACGCGGTCAGCCAACCCCGGGCATGATGTTTTCAGAAACCGGGGGTTTTAGAGACTGGTCTTCTTCTCGTGGTCCTGTTACTGCTCTTACCCTCCTTACCCTAACAGCAAACCAGGGGGCCGTCGGAGAGATGAGAGAAGTCTTGGTAGGCATCGGGCGGCTCAGGTCGGGGCAGCAGCTCGGCAGCGTGGTCCCTGAGCAAGTGTATACCTTACGTAGTCCATTCTGGTTGCTTCTCGCAGCCCCACGGCACTGCTGTATCTAGGCGGCTGTGAAAGTGATAGCAAGCTGCCCCCGAGTTTGTCCTATCCTGCGCCTGACAGCATTGCCGTTACCATTAATCTCCTGGGACAGAGACCACGTCGCGGCCTGGTCTAATGGTCTTAAATAATTGGAATTTTACCCTCATGGCAAAAATGTCGAGGGGAGGGGATACCGTTTCCGTTATTCAGACTTTTACCAAACGTCTTCCAAGTGCAGTCTCGGTAAGCACTTCGACATACGTTGACTACAGGACATAACTTCTGGGAACGAGAGAGAAACGAGATAATGTGATTTTATTAGGTAATTTCCTGGCATCTTTTGCGTATTCATTGTCACCATACGGAGGTGTGAGGATGTCACACCTATTGTAACTGGTGTGTTGAAAAGAGCACTAGAGGAAGGTAGTCCAGAGCTCCAGGGTTTGGTCCCCCACTTGATAGCTGTGTGACAGGTCACGATCTCTCTGGGTCTTTTTTTTTTTTTTTTTTTTTTTTTTTTTTTTTTGCGTTTATTGGGTGGAGGAAGAGTTGGACTGATTGACGTGTTAATGTTCCTTCAAGCTCTGGGAAATCTGTAGTTCCGTGATTATGAAGCCAAAACAAAGCCAATGGGAGTAATGATGAAAACCAAGATTTAAGTTCAACTTACTTTTCTCATCATGTCATACATTTTTGAACTTTCGTTTTCTTTATTGTTGTGAGCCTTACACATTCTTCTAAGCCAGTATATTAATATGTACCAGAAATTTCCCTGTCAACAAACAGTTATTCAAATGTTACTTTAAATTTCCGCAGCAAAATTAGATAAGACAATTCAAAATTAGGTAAATCCATCAAAAATTCCTCTCCTTGAAATCTGAGGGTTTGATTCTGCAGAATCAGAATTAGTTGATTATTTATAATTAATGACAAATTAAAACCTATGCTATCAAAGTAAACCTTAGATCCAAACTCCCCCTTATTCCATACTAAAGAATTGACGTCTTGAGAATAGAGAATCGAAGAGAAAAGGCCTAGGGCCCGCTGATGACTGCCTGCCCAGGGAAGTGGAAGACACGGAGTCGGTATAAATGCCAAAGAAAAATAATTTCCTAAACCTTTACTATTGTTTCAGTGGCATTTATGAATAGGGCGATAAAAGTTAATTATTAATGTAGATTGTTTCAAGATGTAGACTTTCCAGTACAGATGAAGGTTTTTAAACCTTTAATTTAGCTTTGAGTAGAGTAAGAATTAAATGTGAGAATATTTTTTTAAAGTATAACTACATAAAATTTATCCATTGAAAATGATGGTTTGAAAGATTAATGTGGTCTTTTGAAACACTGAGAAAAGATACAAAATTGTGTTCATAGTGTTATTACAATATTATGTTTATATATAAATACTTATATAAACATATACATAAAAAGACTGGAAGGAAACGAACATTTTTAACTTTTTTATTTTGCTTTGGCCTTCCTGAATAGTGGGTTAAAAGTTATTTGTTTCCTTTTATAGCATTCCATATTTTTCACATGTCTAAATTGAAGATATATACTTTTATAACCAGAAAAAAGTTTTGAAATCATCAATCTTTAAACAAATCTTTAGTCATTAATACCATTTGTGATATTTCAGGTTTCTGAGGAAGATACTTGTTCCACAGTACTGTAATTAAAATGGCCTTAGAAAAGGACTACTAAAAATTTATGGCCACTTTTCCTGTATGTATCTTCTTTTTCTCTTGAAAAGCTTCCTTTGAAGTCAAAGGGATTTTGTGAACAGATGCAGAAATATGTGAAAGAAGCATTGGATTCTTAAACCAGATGTATTCGACATCTTTATGATATCTCATAAGCTTTGTAGAAAACAAAAATTATTTTGCAAGAGGAAAGCATAATGGGAAAAAATGTATATTTGTTATATGAATGGTTCTATCAAAAACCAAGAAATAGCGAAGTTACTTTTTATTAGTTTTGGCTGTGAACTTACTTCCTGGGGTGGAAAGCAGAAGTGAGCGAGCGAGAGCAGTGCTGTGTTAGAAACGGTAACTAATGAAGTATTGTGATTCCTGGGTTGTTTGAATGGTTTTCAGTGTTTTCTTTTTTAAAAACAAAATCTTGGGTAAAAAGCTTGGCATAGGGGCTCTTTGCTTATCTCAGATGCAGGCTTTTACCTCTCAAGGCCAGATGTAAACTCAAGTGCAAAATAAAAAATAGAAACAAGAATCACTCCATACTCATTATGGGATGTCTACAATTTATATGAAAACCGTTTATTTTGCCAGGTGTTGCCTGACAGAAACTGTTGAAATCTGACTAGAGGAGCGTAGTCATAGAGTCAGAGGAATTAAGATCTGACATGTTATGTTTAAATGTTGATGGTATTAGGTAAATTCAAGCCTGTCATCGTTGGCCAAACACAGAATGCATACTTCTTTAAGCATTAAGTCATGATTGTATTGTGCAAAGAGTGAAATTTTGATGGTAATAGATATTTGCAAATATATTTGTTATCATTTAGTTGAAGTATGATAAAGTGTCCACATTTTATTGCAGTCGAACATGCTTCCTTATTAGCGGTTCCTAGCCTGGGTTTGACCAGTTTTCGCATAATGTTCTTGCTGTTAATGATTGCTAAGTATAGCCATTAGATGAAGAATTTTGCCTTCCAAAAAAATAAGCATGGTTTACAATTTTTGACCCTGTATTTAGTTCTCACTAGACTTAATTTTTTTTAATTTTAAAATAATTTTAGATTTACAGAGTTGCAAAATTAGTACAGAGAAATTCTGTATATCCTTCACTAACCTTTGTCTTGAATAATTATAATGCAGTTATCAAAATCAAGAAATGAATATTGGTGCAATAGTATTAATTTAGCTTAGTTCAAATTTCACTAGTTTTTTTCACTATTCCTTTTCTTAGTCCAAGATCAAATCCAAGATCCCACATTGCATTTAGCTGTCATGTGTTTTCTAATCTATACACTTTCTGCCTTTCATGACCTTGGCACTTTTGAAGAGAACTGTCAGTTACTTTGTAGAATGTCTCTCAATTTACGTTTGTGTGATTTTTCTTTGTGATTAGACTGAGGTTATGGATTTTTGGCAAGAATACCACGAAGAGATATTGCTCATAACAGGGCCTTAAGGCAGGTATTAGCTAGCACCTCATTTCAAACATGAAGAAATAGACTTTAGTTAAGTAACTTGCCCAATGTCACACAACAATGGAATTAGGATGGTAAAATTTAATGCAGGCATTCGTTCCATATTTTGCAATTAGTGTTTGTTCTTGCAGGTTTCGGCAATGTTAATGACATTAAATTGGGGTAGTTTTCCCACTGACTTCTAGCTTTTCCCTGCTGTGTATTGTCCTTGCAACATGCAGCATGTGCTAATCAGCATGGTATGTGTTCAAGAGCTACAGCAGCCATCTGGGGACTTTGCTAGTTGATTACTCTGCCAGTCTGATGAAGTTACTTCATCTCTCCGTGGCAAATGAAGGTGTGTGGATCCCCTCTCAAGCTCCTTCTAATCTCAGTTGGTGAGTCTATTTGTTTAAAGTGCTCTGTGGTTGGCTGCTTTTGTGAACTGACCCACTTTATTATAAATGATGATAATATTTAAATTGTTTGAAAATAGCTTGAGCAGCTAATGAAAACTACTGAGATAACTGTTGAAAATACAGAGGAAGAATAGTAGCCGAATGCTGAGGATTTATGCTAGCAGATACTATAGCAGCCACAGCCTGGAAATTTTGAAGAGAGTGATGCTGCTGACCCCCAAATTCTTTCTCAGTGTATCTTTTGAATGACTGCAAGTTATAGAAAAGTTGTCTACAGAAGCTGCTAAAAATATATGTATGCACACACACAAATATATATATATTTTTATAACTATATTTATACAAATGTGTTTATTTAAGCATCTATTGGCCAAGCACGGTGGCTGACGCCTGTAATCCCAGCACTTTGGAGGCCAAAGCAGGTGTATTTCTTGAGTTCAGGAGTTCGAGACCAGCCTGGGCAACATAGTGAGACCTTGTCTCTATAAAAATAAAAAAAAATTAGCCAGGCTTAGTGGCATATGCCGGTAGTCCCAGCTAGTTAGGAGACTGAGGTAGGAAAATCACCCGAGCTGGAGAAGGCTGCAGTAATTGCGCCACTGCACAGTAAGATCCTGTCTGAAAAATGAAAAAAAAACCAAAAAACAAAAAACCCCAAACCCATCTGCCTGTCTGTCTATCCTGTATCTATATTTCACGTGTTTCAGAAAAGGAACTACTAGCTAGTGCCTGCTATGTGCTAAAGCCTCATGGTATGTGCTATACATACTTTATGTTATTCATACAACCATTTGTAAATATTATTCTTCCCATTGTATAGAAGAGGAAACTAAGGTTCAGAGAGGTAACTTTCCCAAGTCACAGAGTAAGTAGATAGCAAGTGACAAAGTTCAAACCTAGTCTTGCTTATGTTTTTCCCACTTTACCAAGAGTATCTTTTATCAACTGAAATCTTACATGAATCGCTGTTTTATAAAACAGATAAAAGCAAAGCTTTTCTGATTTAAGAAGCAGAGGAGGATTTGAAGCCCTGCTTGTTTGATTTCCCTCTCCCTCATCACCATCCACACCTTCCCCCTGCCCCGCCCCCGCACCAACTTACTTCACAGCTCAGGGGCTCCAGAGACGGTGCCACACAGTTTTGGATTTCTTAAGATGTAGTTTGAAAAAGACTGCAGCTTCTGTAAATATCCACGTAAGTCTTTGATTAGGAGCACACATGATGGCTGCATTGTTTTTAAGGAGCTGCACTGTAAATGAGTGGTTTGAGAGTATCTACTCCGATTTTTATGTATTTTGTAACTAAAATACAGTGCTCTCTTGATCTTAAGCTACATGAGAGTACATGAAGTGAGAGCAGTCAAACAGCTTTCTTTCCTTTTTTGCCTTCTTTGTTTTTTACAGCTTATTTCTGCCTTAGATGCAGGTCTTCCTGCACAAAGATGATGCTTTGCATTCACGCTCTCACGGTTGTAACTAACCCAGCCTCTAGCCTCCGCACAGAGAACATTTACTTTCGTTCTTTGCTTGACCCTATTCTGCTGCCACCATTCAGGAGTTCAAGTGTTTCTCTTCTGAAGATTACAACAGGAGGCCTAAATCTTCCTCCTGAATTTCCGCAAAGAAATTTACTCCTTTAGGGTAGAAGCTACTCAGCCACAGTGTCAGACTCTAGATGCCAAGAGATAATTTATAGTCACAGAGGTGCTGTGCTGACCCCAGCTTGACTTCATTGAACTCTGCCCAGGCGTTTGCAGTTTTCTCTCTACCATTTCTTAACAATATCCTATCTTTTTTCTCCAGTTCAGAGGCTTCACAGACTTTCTTAACTGCTCTGCTTACTGAGCATAGCAAGGTCATTTGGAGGTCCTTGCACGGACCCATCACCTGAGTTCTGTTAGGTTTCTCCTCATTAACCAAAATTCATCTGTAGCTTTCTTTTTTCTTGCCACAAAATATTCCTTGTTTATCTTGAGCTACTTCTCCAATTCTAATTAAGAAAGTTCTAATTGAACTTACTTCTGGTTGGCTAAGAAACTTTTTTTCCTCTTTGCCTTCTAAAAAGCAGAGGGAAGACAATCTGATTTTTTTTTTTTTTCAGATGGAGTCTTGTTCTGTTGCCCAGGCTGGAGTGCAGTGGCATGATCTCAGCTCACTGCAACCTCTGCCTCCCAGGTTCAAGTGATTGTCCTACCTCAGCCTCCTGAGTAGCGGGGATTACAGGCATGTGCCACCACACCTGGCTAATTTTTGTATTTTTCATAGTGATGGGGTATCACCATGTTGGACAGGCTGGTCTCAAACTCCTGACCTTGTAGTCCGCCTCCCTTGGCCTCCCAAAGTGCTAGGATTACATACGTGAGTTTCTGCTCCCAGCCCTGATATTTAAAAATTCATGGATATTCTTACAGCTTCCACTTCTTCATCCTTTGCATTCTTCGCGGATACACCAAACAGCAGGCAAGAATTCAGTTTTTCCTTCACATTCCCATCCTCATGTTCTGACTGTGACTCATTACAGTATAGGGCAGGCAACTGCGCTGATGGAATTCTGAATGACCTTGGTTAGGTTGCTTCTTATCCCATTGTCTTGAGATGACAGGTATAGATTTTTCTGCAAGATGGTTGAAAGTATAAAATAAAATAACATCGTACCTTGTAAGACATTTTAAAGTGGAACCTAGTCTCTTTAATAATGTTCTGTTCTAATGCAGTACTTTGCAGTTTTCAGAATGCTTCACATTCTCATTTACTTTTGAGTACAACATGCGAAGTTCCTCTATTTAGCCATCAAAAATTTCGACTCACTGGTTAAGCTTTCATTGTGCCTTCCCTTTCTTTAGAAACCCGTTTTGTAGTGATGAAGCATGTAAAGTAGCATCCGTGTTCAAGTTTTCCTCCAGTGGCCGTCATCCTATTTGGACTAACATTAGTTTAACGATCAATTCATTTTTGGGCCCTGGGCTAATGGTACCCCGATCACTTCAGTTATTACTAAACACGGTAATGGCGGTGGTGGCAAGAATAGCCAGCATTCATTGGATGCTCACTGTGTGCCAAAAATCATTTTAAATATTTGACATGTATTAACTCATTTAATCCTCATAACTCAGTGGGGTGGGTGCTGTTAGCCCCATTTTATAGATGAGGATGTTGAGAGTAAATAACTCACTAACGTTACATAGCTAGCAAATGTTGGAACCAAGATGTATGGCCAGCCAGCCTGATTTCAAACCCTGCGCACTACCTAGAATGATGGTAGCTTCTGAAACAAAGTGCACATGTTAATTTGCTGATAACTGCCTTCTAACTTTCAAATCTGTTTCATGCAAGCCACTTGTATATCTTACCATGGTGACATGCAGAGTAGAAATTATAAATCATCCTTTGTCGTTGCTATTTTTACAGTCTTGTTTGGCTCAATGAATGATGAGAAAGAAGCAAAGCTGTCTTGTAAATTTATCTCCATGTCTCTATTTGGCTACTGCCACTAGGGTTACCGTGTGTAAAACAAGGGCTTTTAACACATGAGTCCCAAGGTGGATGTAGGAAGTTCTATTTATCCACAGTCTATAGCCAAAAGGTCAGCCCGCACAGAGCCCTGCAGGCAGAGGAGAGGCGGTGAGAGCTAAAGCTGATGGATGACCAGGGGACCACTATCTAGGGTCTAGTTGGGATTTATGGCTAGAGTGCTTTCTTCAAGAAGTAGCAGAAGTCTGAAGTGGGAAGGTGGGAGATATGGAAATAGTGTTGTGGGCTGTTTTTGCAAGGGACAAGGAATAATTGTATTCTAAAAGATTGTCCTTTGAAGGAGTTATTAAAGAGATCTATAATTCACTAATTATGCAGTATTAAGGTGAGTATATTAGTATATTAATCAGAATGCCAGTGAAGATTTACAGTTGGCAACATTGGACAATTTCATTTTATACATCAAACAAGGGGCTTCTCATGAACTTTTCTTCATACTCCTCATGAACAGAGACTCTGATGGACTGTTCAACTTTATTACATGAATAAAGCCTACTCTTTATTCACCGTGTTACTTTGGTCCCCTTTTGGGAAGCAGGAGAATATAATAGTGAAGGGAAATGGAACTGTTTACTCAAACCCCGGATTGGGATTCCTGTCCTCCCGTGAGGAGAAAGCTCTGAGCAGCCACTTCATAAATGTGCTGGAAAAGAGAGGAGGTCTCTTGGGCTGAGGGTAAGTGTGCAGTGTGAAGGTGGAGCCCCAAGGGAGATGTCAAGGACCAGACTATCTGGAACCCTTGCCAGTCCTGGGGAGAGTGCCAGATTTGCCCCCACCATGGCTACTAGTTACCTGGCCAACTTTGGCTTTTCCCATGGCTGGCAACCTTCCAGCTACTCCTATGCCACTCAGCTGTGAGACATCCAGACTCAGTAACTTAGAGACACAAGTTCACAGGGATAAACATTCACACGAACATTGTACTTGTCAGCTGAAAGGTGACTAGCTCTTCATTAAGAGGAAGTGTGGGAAAGCAGACTGTGCATGACTGTTTGGATCGGCCAGGCCTGGCTCCACCACCACATTTTAACTGTGTGATGCCAGGCAGCTTTTTGACCTCCTTTGACCTCCGGCAGTTTTTAAACCTCAGTTGTCTCATCTGCAATGTGTTAATAATACTCCTCCCATTGTAGGAAAATTATGTAGATTTGAAATCCTACCATATGTAGAGTTCCTTGGTCACCACACAGCAGCTGGTAGGTCCTCCCTGCTTGATGATGACTTCTTCAATACTATAATTTTATCCAGCAACCTTTCTCTCTCTTACTCTTATCACGCTTAGTAGGATTCTTCCCATTGCCATACTATTCTTCCCTCCCACCACATCCCCCCATCAGTCTGACCAGATTAAACTCCCAGAAGCAGAGCTCTAATTTGTTGTTCCCTTGCTGAGAAACCTGGGGGCGGGGGGGGTTCCTCATAAAGTCCAGACTTTTCACAGACAAACATTTAATACTTTGCATAGTCTGGATCCAAATGTCTCTCTAGACCCTTGCTGTCTAACATAGATCCTTTGGCCTAGAGTTCATAAGTTTTCAGGTTTCCTCAGAGCTATTCCCTTTTACTTCCTTATTAATGTCATTACCTCTTCTTGGAAAGGCCTTTCTTCCTAACCTTATCTGTCTGTATTCTATCATTCTTTAAAAGCAAAACAAAATATGTGCAGCTTTTTGTGATATCAGTTATATCACAATAAAATGTTTTAAAACCAACAGCGACAACAACAAAAACCTCAGATATGGGTTCCAAAAACTTTGTTCTGAAGCTGGAAATGTTTGTTTCCAGTTTGAAAGTTTATAGGACATTGTACCTTTCTTATAGAAAAACCCCACATCCTTTATATTTTGTCTCTGTGTATAGGTGTTTGCTCTAAGATAGATGGAAGAGCATGCTGTTTTTCATTTAGACCTTTTGTGCACACCTCAGCAGAAAACAGTTCAGTGTGCTCTGTGCCACAGGTGCAGCTTAGGCTACCGCTCAGCAGGCAGACCTCAGCAGACTCTGGAGGCCACCACCAGTGACGAAAGACAGGAAGATTCGTTCTGTTGTGCACTGGCGGTGATACTGTGTGTGTGAGAAAATGAGATATTATAATAATAATGATTTAATTCTTAAATCTTTGGCATAAGAACATCTGGTTACAGAAAGAACTCAATACGGATTTAAAGAGTGAATGAATTCAGTGAAAAAAACCCAATGGGACAGCACATGAGCCAGTGCCTAGCATTGTCATCAAGGAGATTGTGGAACTGAAACCGTACATTTTTGTGCGTATTTTTATTTAATTACAAAAGATGTGTAATGTTTGCTGCAGTTAATAAGTGATTAATAATCTTATTAATGATCTTATTATTGCCCAAAGTATCCCGGTTTATAAATGATTGGAAGATCATACCAATTTTATTTTAACGATTTTTTGAGAGGGTATGGATTTCCAACTGGTTGCTGAACTGACTCTTATTGTCACTCTGACCCTAATTGTGTTTTTCACAGGTACCACTAATTATACTAGGGTTTTCCACCTCTTTACATTATACTGAGGTTTGTTCCATCTGTATCTAGAAAAGCGTAGACATAGGATTAAGATGAAAAGATTTTATTTTGCGCATGGTTTTGCCTCAAAGGACGGTCCAGTTCAAGAAGTGTGCCATAGTATCTGTACAACTGCTGTGGTTTTTACTGTTGTAATAAAGAGTGTGCTTTCTTCAACTTACAAAGGAAATAAAAAGCTTATTTATTGTATTGACGTTGCCTTTCTTTTTTCCTCATTTACCCGCTTTAAATCCTGTTTAAGCAACTTGTCAAACCATGCGTAGCCCTTTTGCTCTGTGGATCTTGGTATGCCCTGCATAGATGGAGAAAACAGCCCTAGGTCTCACTGCAGTTACACAATATGGACAGTAAGGCCGTATGTGAGCTAATGCGACTTCATTTGTATTTGCACCTTAATAAATGCAGTGTAATGTGATTCAAGCAGATTTTTATATCTATACAACCAAGGTTTTGCAAAAAAATTATATTTTCTTCTTTTAAAGCGGCCAGTGGTATTATAGTAGTTTGTTGGGAAAGCTTTATTGCTATGCTGGGTTACCAGATTTTCATTACACGTTTCATAAAACCTTAAATTGTGCTATATCATATTTGTTAGAGAGAATGGCATTTTTTTGTTTTTTTGAGACAGAGTCTCGCACTGTTGCCCAGGCTGGAGTGCAGTGGTGCGATCATAGCTCCCTGTATCTTGAACTCCTGGGCTCGAGTGATCTGTAATACTCAGCCTCCTGAATAGCTGGGACTACAGGTGCAGGTTACCACATTTGGCTTTTTTTTTTTTTTTTTTTTTAAATTGAACACAAGGTCTTGCTATGGTATCCGGTCTGATCCCAAGCTCCTGGGCTCAAGTGGTCCTCCTACCTAAGTGCCCAAAGTGTAGAGATTACAGGTGTGAGCCACTCTGCCTGGCCAAGGGGATGGGTTTGATTGCAGCATCTTTCTGGTAAATCTATGAGTAACTATATGAGGCTGCTATAATGAAATGCCACAGACTGAGTAGCATAAACAACAGACATTTATTTGTCAGTTTTGGAGGCTGGGAAGTCCAAGATCAAGGTGCTGACACATTCCATGTCTGGTGAGGGCTTCCTTACTGGTTCATTCTCTGGGATCTCTTTTATGAGGCCACTGTTACCTCCCAAAAGCCCCACCTCCTAATATTATTACATTGGGAATTAGGTTTCAACGTATGAATTTTGAGAGGACACAAACATTCTCTTGCAATGTGTGATTACAGTGGCCAGACATCTTGTAAAATTCAGAACCAGTTATACTTTATACCCATACATCTTTAAAGTGTCTTTGAAATTTCAGTGTTTCAGCATCCACATATCTCCTGCAGTTTCTCATGTTCTAAAATAGAACAAAACTTCTTTAGCAGACCATATTTCCTTAATTTTGATTGACAATACATTAACATACCTATGACTAAAATAGAGACACAGCTTGCCCTCTGTCTTTTCCATCCAGCAGACTTTTTGGTCAGACTTACAGGATACCTGTCTTTTTGGAATTCAGATGCTTACCTTTAGA